AAACACAGAACATTAGCGATCCATCTCATTTGAGGCAGTGTATGCCTCAACCATATTCCTTTTTCATTTCACTATGTACTTACATGTAGCTCATATGAAAAAATTCGCTAGGGTCCATTTTGTTTCGAATTTAACTTTTTGATGCCGATAGTATTGGATTAGGCATGTGACGCATGATTCATGCCTCGCGTAAATTTCAAAAATTAATTTTGATCTGTTGGTACTTTAAAACAGTAATATCAACACTTCACCAAAATTGTACAAGTAAAGGCCTTCATGTATTTGATCAAACTGTTTGTATTCAATTCTTTTTCCACAATGAGAATTACATGGAGAATAAAACATCAAAAAACGCAGACATATTTGATATTTGCATGTATTTATACAGCATAACTTTGTTATCCAGACTGGTCAGTTTCAACCTCGATTGTATATCATCTTGCTGAACGTATGACGTATTTCCTATCATTGTGCTATTCCTCTGAATGAACAATCCCTCACTTAAGAAGATGTTGCCATAACCCAAATCTTGCTCCTAACCTAGAATTCCAAAGGGAAATATTTAAATGGCTAGGATGGTGCAAAAGATCAAGGACTTGTAGATTTTTGCAATAATTAACATGCTGGCTTAGAAGGTATTCTTGTATACAAGAGAATTCCCAGAATAAAAGAAAATCAAAACCAAAATGCAATGACTACCGACATTTTAATTGTTTCTAAAACTAAGCCACAAGACTAAATTTTTTTATAGCAGCAACCCTTAACTAATGGATCGGCATCGCATTCTACAAAAGATACCCTCCGAAAAGACACGTGAGCAGAACCGTGTGTAGATGCTATAAAGGAAATAATCTCTAACACCGTTTTTCAGTTGAAAACCTAAGCGGAATGTTGCAAAGACCGGTCTCAATGACTAGTTTACGCCAAACTTTGCACAACCTATCCAATCCATATGAGAAGGAGTCCACAAGAGGGCTGGAGGACGCAATTTTCGATTTGTTTAAGATTCCTGGAAAGAACGAAGCGTCCATTGGTCGACTACTTACGGTATTAGCATATTCAGCATGGACTGGTTATTGAACGATAGAGTAGCTTTGAAGGTTCTAAAATCATTTGGACTTCGTGTCGATGATCCTCGTCTAAGGCCTATGATGCGAAGATTAAAGCAGATTGAAAAACAAGAGGAGGCCAAGATGAAAGAAGCTACTGAGCCTAAGCACTGGAAGCTTGGAAGGGATCAATTCAAAGAGTTGAGGCCACTGAGGAAAAGAGAACAAAAAGTCAACTTTTGTCGTTCAGATGCATAGCTTATAGCGTTGATCTCATCGCGCAAGCACTACGCAATAATCTCGTCATCCCATCCTGGCACACCTTCATCGATCAAATCAGAGTTATCTATCAAGAGGTGAGGATACTCGTGAATCTCATTTAACTGTGACTACACTATATTTTCGACTTACACCACAACTTAAGTGTGGGGAGATAAGTGACGGTTCAGTCGCGACCTATATCCCTCAACTTGCCCGACAGTCACCTCATTTTTGGGGAGTTTCGATTTGCACCGTGGACGGGCAACGGGTAAGATTGTTGAACTTCTGCAAGATAAACTTGGGAGATAAGCGACTTCTTGGCACAGTTAGTTGTTGATAGACCCGTTAATAAACAATTTATAGAATACTGACCTATATTTGACTTTTGATGCACGTTGCCCAGAAACGGCTAATACTAGACTATTCTTCTCAAGCTTATGCACACTTTTGACCATTATAAGTTGCCAACATCAAACTCAATCTTGAATATTACATCACAGGTAGTAGCAAAAGTTTAAGCGCTTTCTAGACAATATTTTAGAGCGCTTTGGTTCAAGATAGCGTAGAATAAAACGATTAATATACATAGCAGAGCAGACACTTCAAGTTAATTCCAGTCGAACTGCTAGAATTGATGTTATTGTAATGATAGTCAAAGCAAGTAGATTTTTGTCACATAACTCTTCTAAGAGACTCTGAGATTAATTAGTGATTCCCAAACCCAAATTTCTAAATCATATTCGACTAGAATAGAATTTTCAAAAAAAGCAATAGTAGTAATTCTTGATTTTTTCAATCCTACTAAGTTGCAGGCTTCCTTTGGCGATGCTAAATCACCTTTTTGCGTGCAATCGGTGTCGAAAGCATTCAACTATGCTATTGCGGCCTCAGATCTCGGTAAGCTTTATGGTTTAAAGTACCAAAATCAGCTCACACTACTACCTAGTGAAAGATATGGAAACGACGACCACAAACTTAAGATTCGTTTACTAAGCAGATGGTGTATTAGCACACAAACTAAATA